TTTAATAAGAGTCTGGCTTAGCTGGCCAGCACTGCATATTTTGCAACACTGCTGTAAGCCTGTGACCAGAAAGAGGAAACTAAAAGTGATGCCTTAAACAGTCCAGTGTTGGTAAGAGTTTTCCCAGGCCTTGTAGTAGCTGATAAGACCATGTGTTGTGCCTGAGTTTCTCCAGCAGTGAGATTGCAAGTGAACATCAACACCAGAGATAAAAGCAACGTTTTCTATCTTTTCTGTTCTTTTCTCTCCCCTCTTGTATGTGTTCGTCTTGTTTTGTCTTCTTAGGAAATGAGATTGGACTTCAACACCACCACCAGCAACAATGAACACTTCCAGCCCATTTCAACTAACTTCTCTTTTCTAAAAAGGACAGTTACTACCATCTTTAACGTCATCTAACAGACCATCACAAAGTGTTTTTTTTCCTTCTAAAAACTCTCTCCATCTTAAAGGAGAGGGAATAAGGGATGTTGTTAAAAGGAAAGACTTATTTAGTACTTTACATTTCAAAAGTTTTAACTGTTTTTCCTTCTTTTCTATATTTTTAATAACAGGTTAAAAGGATTTTTAATGGTGTGTTTGCCATGGTACAAATCAGGCTGAGGTCTCTGTGTACAATCCCTGAACCTTGTTTAACACTGTGTAATGTTGGACAGTGACTAGGTTATGTTAATACTTTTGGCCCATATAGTCCATCTAAACTAATTCAACATCTCTGTGGGGCAGGGACTGTCTGATCTGTGTTTGTACAGCCCATCGCACAATGGGGTCCTGGTCCATGATCAGGGCTCCTAGGCTCTACAGCATTGTTATTATTAAAAATAATAATATAATTAATAACTTCATTACCACTCCATAATGATCCACACAAATATACTAGACTTTCAGTGTTTTGGGGTGCCCACACACAATTCTTCTGTTTAGTGTATCATGGGCTCTGTCTGTAAAGTGTTTTTGAGATACAGGGCCCAATCATGCTCCATTTGAAAAAATCATGAGAAATGTTTCCATTGGCAGGATCGGGTCCATGAAGTATTAAGCTTGCTGTAGAAAAACTGAGTTTGTATTCCATTGAGAGGAGATGCTATTTCTGGCAGCATCTATTTGTTTAAATAGGGGTGAGGGTGTGTCATGCATAGAAAAGCTGTTGTTTGTTATTTAGGTAACTTGAGTGTTGTGTTCCTAATTTGGACAGCATTGATGTTATGGCACTCGTAAGAAAGAACACATTGAAGCATAGCAATGGAAAATCATTTTTTCTAATTTTGATGATAAAATTCCAGAAGTCATTCTTCTCTGTGGAGACAATTATCACCAGTTACACTCTTACATCCCCTTATTATTCCACACTACATCTCAGCTGCCATTACCAAGGGTGAGATTGGGAAAATAGAAGGTGGTGGTTGTGACGCTCTGTACCTCAAGGGAACACCCTACACTGCCATGTTCATCCTTATAATATGATTGTGTGGTATCCAATGCAAAGTTTGTCATGTCGGGTGTCTTCAGAAGGCTCATGATGCACTGAGCATTGTTGTTACAGTAATGTTATAGTGATTGTTGTTATAGTAAAGTTATAGGTTGTAATTTCATGTATACAGTTACGAGGCTGAAAATGTGTCCTCATGGCTTAAAACAAGCCCAGGCAAAAACTCTCCAAGAGCAGAGGGGCAGTTCACACTTCATCAAGGCATGTATGGGACAAACCCAGCCCACTCTCACAGGAACAAAGGACACTGGCCTAGACAGAAACAAAGGATCTGTTGGACTCTCAAGTGAGTCATCCCCTTCCCTTGGTCAGTTAGGGATTACAATGAGGTAATGGCTCACCTGACGCTGAAGGGGGGTCAGGCAAAGTCAAGAGGGAAGAAAGAACATGATAAAAGGGAGAGATGTTTGCCATGCTTTCCTCTCTCTCTCTTCCACCTCCATCTACAGACATCACCACCAAGCAACTGAAGTGCTGATCAAAGGGGAGAGCCTGGCTGAAGGGCAACCAGCCAGCCTGTGGTGAGAAGCACGTAAATTTGTAAGGGCATTGAAAGCGAGAAGATCAGCTTAGAATGTGTTTTGCTTTTATTTCATTTGACCAAATCTGACTTGTTGTGCTTTGAATTATAATCACGTAAAATCTATTTTTGTAGTTAATAAATCTGTTTGTTTATTCTACCTGAAGCAGTGTGTTTGGTTTGAAGCGTATCAGAGACTCTCCTTGGGATAACAAGTCTGGTACATATCAATTTCTTTGTTAAATTGACGAACTCATATAAGCTTGCAGCATCCAGCGGGCGTAACTGGACACTGCAAGATGGAGGTTCCTAGGGTTGTGTCTGGGACCGAAGATGTTGGCTAGTGTCATTCGGTTGCACAATCCAAGCAGCTTAATGCCAGAGGCTGTGCATGAACAGCCCAGGAATGGGGTTCTCACAGCAGAGCAGGGAAAGTCTGGCTCCCAGAGTCAAGGATTGGAGCGACCTAGCAGATCACCGGTCCAGATAACACTAGGGGAATGTCACAGTGGTACTCTTCTAAGGTCTGCCCACAAACTTCACCCACCGAGGTGCCACTTGCAATAGACTGTGCAGATATTCAAAATGTGTTCACATGTGGTCTCCTGTTCATTGGGCTTGGCACCCCCTCACTGGTCTCTCAATACACCCGGAGTCTCTACTGTCAACATTTAGCACTGGGTATTTCAGTTAGCACCCACAGAGATGAATGACAGGTTTCAGAGTAGCAGCCGTGTTAGTCTGTATCCGCAAAAAGAACAGGAGTACTTGTGGCACCTTAGAGACTAACAAATTTATTAGAGCATAAGCTTTCATGGACTACAGCCCACTT